AATTTTCCACAACGGGGAATTCCCCGTATGTGTATGACGTACATTCATTTAATAGGTGTTTTCTTTTGTTTTCTTTTTTTGTAGTTTGTATTGCTCTGCTACCAGTTCATTGTTGCAACAAAAACACCCCTTAAACTGAATAAAGCACACATTGCCACGCAACATCTCTAAGTGTGTATATAAATCTCGATGATTTGCTTAATCAATTGAAGCTCATTCAAACTTACAGAACTTTTTTTTTACAAATCTCACATTGAATGTACTTATTTTTTGTGTTATTAAAAGAAAAAAAACAATCAATTGTGGTTCAAATATTTTATTTTCATTACACACGAATCACACTGCTATAGGTGAATATGGAGTTTTACATAAAACAATTGACGCACTTTTAGATACAGGAAAATCTATGTAGGTATGATACAAAATATCTCATGCCCCCTCTGAATGGAATCAAGGGTATAGCATTTGAATTTATTCATTGCATCTGTATATTACAATGCATATGAGTATGTAAATGTCTTGTCTTTCACCTTAAATAAAGTGCCATACCAGTGGACGAAGTGCTTTTAACATCAACGTGCTGTTAAATTTCACTACTTTATCGTATATGAACAGCAATGGCAAACTGAAATACAAGCACAAGAATAGTACCTCACCCTTTCGAATAGGGATCATCTAATTTCATCTCGCAGCATCAGATATCCTTTAATATCCCCCATGCCCGCATGCGCAGAAGTATTAGAAAGGTCCCAGTATGTCCAATATATAAATTGGATAAAGCTTACGATCACAAGGCAGAACCTGCCCATTTTCTCCAAATTTGCGTCATCACTCTTCGTAATAAGACGAGTCTCTTGATCTCGGCGCCCATTGTATTATTGGCCTGAATAACTTGATCCTTTTCTATTTCCAATGCACTGACTTTACTTTCGAGCTGCCGACTATAACACACTTGGGCGTTGTTCGTGGTGGCATAATTTCTACATCGTTCCTTTTCTTTGAGCAATTCCTGGTTAAGTTTCTCAACTTCCTGGCGGAGCTCTAGAACTTCATTTGCTGTTGGTGTAATATAGTAAATCATTTCTAAAGAAATTTATAGATATACAGGGTGAGGCAAAATAAGAGGGGCAAAAATAAAGACTAATATATTTTATATACCCTAACTGTAGGGGATGAGGTTACAGTCCTTCATGAAATTCATTAAAGGGCCTTCATAACATGGGTGTCCTTTTAAATGAAGGATCGAAGCGTCATTCATTGCGGTAAATACAGGTGTAGTCTTTTTATCATCTATTTTTTCTCAACAAAATGACCATCTTAAAACAAGAGAATAAAAATTAATCTACTTCATGATGAATATAATATGGTTCTTTTTTTAGTTACAAATTCAGGAGATATTAGTGGTAAGGCGTGTAAATGCACACTTTATCGTCATGCACCCTTCAGGCCGTTAAATAATTATTTTATAGTTCCTACATATAGTAGCGATACAAATTTTATCAAGCAGATACAATAGACATAAACATAGTTTGATATATACTGATTTGTATTCCGTTCCACCCAACATTTCCCAGTTCAAAGTGATATTGAAATATCCACAATCACAGGCCACAAGCACAAGCATTTGCTCGACATAGTATGTGATCATGATAGCATAACGCATGCAACGTTCCTTTTGCTCACTACACACACGAAACCCGTCGTAATTTGCTTGAATTTCGTCATTTTCCTCAGCAAGATTCTTGATCTCGGCGCACATTGTATTATTGGCCTGAATAACTTGATCGTTTTCTATTTCCAATGCATTGACTTTACTTTCGAGCTGTCGACTATAACACATCAGGGATTTGTTCATAGTGTCATAATTTCTACATCGTTCCTTTTCTTTAAGCAATTCCTGGTTAAGTCTTTCGACTTCCTGACGGAGCTGTAGCACTTCATCTGCCGCCATGTCTATCTGCTGATCTATTGTGAACAGAAAATGAGTTGGTAAAACAGTAAGTAATTTCTAAAGAGATTTATAGGGCGGGACACAATAAAAGGGACAAAAGTAAAGACACAAATCTATTGCAAGGAATGAGGTAACAGTCTTTCCTGAAATTCATTCATTCATTCACAAGGGCCTTCATAACATGGTAGAACCTTTGAATGAAGGGTCGAAACGTCATTCAACGCTGGTAAAATCAGGTTTCGTCTTATAAAATGTTTTTGAACAAAATATCTAAACACAAAAAGACAATTGAAAACTATTTAACGGTAACAATGTTGTTGTTCATTTCTTAAAAAGCTACAAGACTAGGAGATATGCCTCTTACCTGCCAACGAGTCGAATACTTTAACAGACTGTGAAGCACATATACACGAAGTCGTCATAGCTGCTGTCTAAATAAAGGCAGAAAGCTGCACTTACCACCATCTGTGAAATTTTCCACGATGGTGAATTCCCCTTTATGTTTTTGACGTACATTCAATTAATGGATGTTTTCTTTTCTTTTCTTTTAGTTTGTATTGACCTGGTGACAACTTATCCCTGTACGGAATTGTCTCGATTATATGGATATACTAGTACAATGATAATATATAGCGCTTGAGTCATGGGGATATGAATTATTCATAACGTTTGTTTTAATTCAACATATGGGGAAGAGAGCAGGCAAATGAAAATACTGGAATGTGTGCTTTTTATGAATATGATTGATCAGGTGAGAAAATGTGGAATTTAACTTTCAAATGTTTTAAAGGAAAAAAGCACACACACACACACACACACACACAGTTCACTATAAACAAGAGCTACTGTTCATGTTATAGTTCACAAAGCAGCTCCATAGTTTGCTTGATCGAAGTTTATTAAAGTTTGCTCAAATGTGCCGTTTCGTTTGCTTTGCGATTGGTTTATTGGTTGTGTTTCTTTTTTCTTGTTAAGAAAAGACGGATAATCAATTTTTTATTTGCTACACAAAGTCCATAGTGCTATAGAAGAACATAATGTTCTATTCAAATGAATTAATGCACTTCTATATTCATGCAATGCTACTTAGATAATTTGATACAAAACATTTTAATGAACCACAATTCAACATTTTGCACAGAATGCTTCGAAAAAAAATTGTGTTGCGAGATGGAGTGGGGTAAGATAGGGAAATCAGTCGCCCCCAAAGATATTTGATAAGTATATGAGGTATCTTTATGACGTGTTAGCCTTTTTCTTTCCCCCAGTCCACCGAATGTTTCTTCCTTTCGTCTCGATTCAATGTTAAGATGAGTCTCACGGGCAGTATAAATGACCGGCCTGCATGTATTGAAGCCATTCGTAGCTGTCTTAAGCACTTTCGTAGCCAAAGTCCCTGATAGCTATACTACTGCGCTATATGAATAAATTGAACTCGTTAGATCGACTGAAGTTAGTTCAAAGGTGCTACATTTATTTTGTTTGGTTATAACGATTGTCACATGAAAGGTGTTTACTTTTTTGTGTTAAGCAATGCAAAGGAAATTTATTCTATTGTTTGAATATTTTATTTACATCTCACACAACTAACAGTGTTCCACAGGAATGTCAATTTTAATTCAAAAGAATTAACAAACTTCTAGATACAGGGATTTCTGTTTAGGTTTGATGATATTTAAAAGATCTTCCGTTCCCTTTGAATGAAAGTAAACCAGTAAGAGTATTTCAGTTTCATAAATGGATTGTGTTTGCAGTCATTAACGTGTTAAACAAGCAAGAACTCCAAAGAAAATAATAATCTAGCTTTGTCAGTAATAAAAAAGTGGTAAGGTTGTTTATCTTACAAATGCAATTTCTCATTAAGAAAATGCTCAATGACATAATCAATAGCGAATAAATCCTAACAAATATATAATTATCTCTGGAAGTATAAAGTTTTAGGACTAAATGTCGATTGCAACTGATTATGCTTTGAATTCCTTTTATGAAAACTTATGAAGTAAAAAAAAGAAAAAGAAAAAAAGACAGTATCGGTGTCATACGCTGGCTGTTGGTGTTCTATTTGTGTTTATGGGAAATTGTCCAGTTTCTGGACAGTTTCAGATAAACGAAGTGTCCTATATCAATATATTTCCTTTTTATATTCAGTAAAATGTTAAACAACTGTAAGTATGCTCTATGTACCCAACACTCACTAGTTGTACTGCTGTACAGCGTATAAGTATATCTGTGTTTTCATCACAGGATATTAAGGAGCTCATTATGCCAAACTCTTTTGGATTAATATTTTGATTTTTCTTTTACTTTTGCACCCTACACCTCTCTTAAAGATTATGAGTTTTGATTTTTATATACTTATACATAGTTTTTGGTTTGTCAGTGTTTGCCTTTTTGAAACAAATAGGATTTTTCTGGTAAGTGCGTATCATATTCAAAAGCATCATTTGTTTCTGCGTGTTGCCAAGTCTGTCTATTGGCAACATTGCCCGACGTTCTGTCATAAAAGCTAGTCGTTTATTAAGCATTTCAAGTGGCCTTACACGTACATTGTAATGTAGTTCACTTAACAGGCTGTTGGAGCTTTTCAATACCAATTCAATGCATACATGTCATACACGTCATACATACAACTTGCAGTAATGAAACCAAGCAAGTAATGCTTGTGAACGTAAGTTGTGAACGCCGGCAACACGCTACGCATTCGTTGTTATGAGTTGTCTATAAGTAATAGAAACGTTCTATATAAGTTACTAGTACGTCATATATATCGTTATGAATACGTTATGTATAGACCAAAAATTGAAAAAAAAAAAAAAAAAAAAAAAAACGTCGACAGTTCAACGTATGCCATCACAACGATCACGTCGGACATACGCTGGCGAAATCGTCAAGGTGTGACAGGGCCATTAAAATTGAACATTGTTCAGTCTGTAAAAATGTAGACATGTAGATTTACAAGTTTGCATAAGACCCATGAATTTTGTAAATATTATCAACAATAATTTTGTTAAATATCAAAACATACTAATGCAATTTATTCTTCGTCTTTTCATTGATATGCAGCAACATTGTCTAAGCCTCCTTGCACAGCCTGTTCATACGTTGGCGGCATCCCGGCCTCTTTACTCACGGGAGGGATCTCAGGGATGCAATCGTACGCCGGCGGTAGGTTTGGCGCCAAAGGAGTGCGGTCTGATACCTGAATAACAGCCACGTTCGCTGCTCCACCGGTGACACGTGTGGGCCTGCCAGGAGTCCCCTGACGTCTATGTGTTTGAGGATTTGTTGACCTTTCCGGCTTGTTGGGGTCCTTGCAGAAGAAGAACAAGAGAGAGGAAACGCTCACGCCGAGTACCAATGGAATGACAAGGAAGAAAACTACGTACAGCCAAGAGCGAGCGTTGTTCGTGACGTCCATATCGTCATCGTGTGAGTAGAACGCAGGCGCTTCGATGACGACAACTTCCGCTGAATTTATCTCCAGTGGGTAATGGCAGTGAGTCACGTGATTGCACGATGACCTCAGAAGCCCTTCTGTGACGTCATAGATGGTGCGGTTCAACCGAAAGTGAGCATGGATGAAGTTCGAATCAAACAGGTAAAGGTTTGCAAAAAGAAAATAGTAATCGTCGGCTTCTTCTACAAGTAAAGTGTAGGTGTTAAACTGCTCATCCCAGGAGCAGCGACCATAGCTTGTTTCGAAAACGTGAGAGTAAATGTAGCAATTTCCGCAGTCATTCTTGTTCTTACTTTTAATCCATTTGTCAAGATTGCTTCTGCCTCGTATCACGAACATGGTTACAATACTGTTGGTAAAATAGGTACACGCTCGTTGCTCGATGGTCGACCCTGGAAGCAGATAATAACCGTAATACTCATATCGGTCGGGTTGTAAGCTTAATGTTGTGTCGTACGTATACGGTAAAGCCGTGGCATTGGAGACGACCCTGGGCACTTTCTTGAACAAATATGCATTGAAGTTGCTGTGCGATTTCAGCGTCATTCCATCGCCAAGTAACGTGGTCGTGTCTTTGGTCAAAGCGCGCATGTCAGTAGGAGCAACGTTGACTTTCTTGGTAGCGTTGTATTTGGAGTATAGCACGGTGCTCGTCACTACAGTAATAATGATGATTTGGACCCAGAATACGGCGATTCGCTGTTTGCGGGTTAGTTTGGTCAGACAAAGTAGAGAGCCTAGTAGTATGAAGATGCAAGAGCAGCATTTTTCGCAATCCTCGTCATTTTTTCTTCGACGACTTGAGTTTGCTCCCCAATATCCACCGCCGTAGAACCCGCCGCCACCGCCGCTGTATCCGCCACCGCAAGATCCGCCCCCATGTGTCATCTCTGAAACCACTGAAAGCAAATAATAATTCCTTCAGTTTTTTTATTTTTATTACAAAAATTGTGGATGTCTATTTCTAGATCTTGAAAATTAAATTATTAAAAGTTAACCTTATACAATCTGCGTTTGAGAATGTCCCAAATACAAAATATTCTACATTTCCACATATCTAGCAATTAAGCTACAAACAACAAAGATAGACAGCTAGCTAATGTTTCTGACCAATACTTAACTGTTTTATCACGGATTTGAACAGATTTTTTTTTTTTTTGGCGTGAAAGTTCAGACCAATATTTGGACTAAAATCTCTTTGTTACCCACCAAGCCATTATATTTTTAATGTACTATACTATATGTATAAGGTGCATACAAACGCAGTAACCAGTCTTGTGTTACATCGTACTGCTGCTAGTGTTTATTTTATGTTAATAATTAATACAAAGTACCTACTTGTTATCATATGTAACTTAACCCAAATTGAGCAAGTCGGGTAGAGTTCTGCGATAAATAAATGTGTACACATGTACGTAGCGCGGTGCAATAAGACGCTTGTTAATTTAGAATAAAACAGTCAGGCAAATAATTTCGTTTTTTTTACACTGCACGGTTTCCAAAACAATTGCTTCATTCGATATGTATTTATACTAAAAAATGGTGATCCTAGAGACAGGAAAATGCTGCAGTGTAAGAAGCTGGTTTAGCCGTTGTTTTGAAGGTCCTCCTTCACGCAAGAAAAGTCAAAATCTTAACCAAATAGTCTTAATTAATTTTAGACGGTGTTTGGTGAGAGGTTGAACACCAGTGTACAAGTGAGTAATCGAGAGTCAATTGATGAAATAAAACATCAAATGCACTTTAATAAACCAGTCTATTTGACGTATGTTCAATCAATTGCTGTATTCCGTATTTCACATGATTGAAGAATGAAATCTGTATTTATAGACGCTCATACATAATTACGTTATTTAACCTAAAGGACTTAATGAAATAAGCATTATAATACCGATGAAAAACTGAGATTCAAATAAACCAATGTTTAACGAAACAAGAAGGTACAGAAGTTGCTGTGACAACTCCTTAATGCCAAAACGACAACAGTAAGAATGTGTTCTTCGTCTGTTTGAGAGAACTGCTTGTCTTGCATAGAATTGAAGGTAAGAGCAATTTTCCACTGTTTATAGGTGTATAACAACAGAGTTAAGGTAAGTCAATTTTAAGACCTTGTTCAGAATTTGGGTAAACAAATTAGATTTAAACGCATAGCAGGGTGTACGTGAAATAGATCCCTCAGAATTTTATCCTACAACCCAACGGTTATAATTATCGGAATAAGACAGTAGCCAGACCAGCGCTAGTGTTCGCACTGATGACGCCAGAAGTACAAGTAACATGTTATAAAACACACATCTTTTTAGATAGTATAGTTCAAATTGTCTGGCGTTCTATTCTCTGTGCATATGTAAGTTTACTCACCTTCTTAAAGAACAAAACAATACAACACAATGGTGTACTTGGGAATCTAGAGCGATTTCGTCTGTATCTATAGGTTTTATCTTTATCGTGGTCAACGCACCTTATATTGGCTGTTGAGCTAACTTTAGTTCACGTTGTCATTTGTGTACATTGCGAAATATGTACTGTGTCACGAGGTCGTGAGTCTCATGGCAGCAACAAACACGATAACATGTAAACAATCTGATGGGGATGTCTCTAAGATAGAAATGTTGTGAAAAGAGAGAGAGAGAGAGAGAGAGAGAGAGAGAAAGTGAGAGAGAGGATGTGTATTACCTTGGGCAGACGGATAGATGTGTGTGTGTGTGTGTGTGTGTGTGTGTGTGTGTGTGAGAGAGAGAGAGAGAGAGAGAGAGAGAGGTACGGGGAGAGTGGAGAGGGAAGGTCGGCGAGACATGAATTCCCCTCAGGATCCCTTCACTTGTTACGCTATAAGAACAAAAAGTAACTGATTTGCCTGTCCCATATCCTGAACAGGTAAAACCTCAGTCCCCCCTTTTTTGTTAAGACACAAGTTGCATCACGAATTTGTAGACTTTTATTTATGTGTGTCTGAGTTCAGCCATGTTGGGGATTCAAACGGCGTCTTTGTTGAGGCGATCGTTGGTCAGCAAGTCATTTAGGTAAGATGTTACTGGTGTGAGCTTAGTAGAATATGTTGGTCCTGTTTTACGTTTTCTCTTTTTATCTCACTCGCGTAATTAAATAGATTTATATTTAAAGCGAGACTGTTATTGTTTGTAATGAAACATGTAATGAGGATAGCACAATTATAATAAAATTCCAGACTATCAGTTTATTGCTTATGGCCTGACAGCCAGCGACATGTAACTTGAGCAACGTCCAACATGGTGGTCCAACGACACCCCACCACTTTTTTATATTTTTCTTTTTCTTTCCGTCCGGAGATTTTAGAGAACCTCAGTACTAATATACTTGAACTGAGGGTATCGGTGTTGTCTGTCACAATGCAGAATTAGGAAAATATAAATATCTGCAAAATAAAGATAAACATATGAAACGTATAAATTTAATTTCTTATTAATCAAAATTGCACTCAGAAACGACCTGCATCTATGTTAAAACAGAGAGAAACAGATATGCATGCCGATTTATAATGTTAACACCATCAAGAAAAACTTGCTAAATTTCAAAACCTAAAAATTCAGTCTATTGTTAGTCTTAATATTGATATGCAGCAACATTGCCCAAGCCTGCTTGAACAGTCTGTTCATACGACGGCTCCATCCCGGTCTCTTTACTCACGGGAGGGATCTGGGATATACCATCGTATGCCAGCGATGCATTTGGCGCCAAAGGAGTGCGATCTGACACCTGAATTTCAGCCACGTTCGCTGCTCCGCCGGTGGCACGTTGTGACCTGCCAGAAAATTCTTGACGTCCAGGTGCTTGAGGATTTTTTGACCGTTCAGGGTTCTTGGGGTCCTTGAAGAAGTACAAGAGAAAAGAAACACTGACACCGAGTATCATTGGAATGAGTAGGAAGGAAACTGCATACAACCAAGAGCGAGGGTTGTTTGTGACGTCCATATCGTCATCGTGAGAGTAAGACGCAGGCGCTTCGATTACGACAACTTCCGCTGAATAATGATAATGGCAGTGAGTCACGTGATTGCACGATGATTTCAGAAGTCCGTCCGTGACGTCATAGATGGTGCGGTTCAACCGGAAGCGAGCTTGGACGTTGTTTGTGTCGAACATGTGAAAGTTGGCATAAAGGAAATAGTAATCGTCAGCTTTTTCTACATGCAGAGTGTAGGTGTTAGAATGTGTGCCCCAGGCGCAGCTACCATAGCTTGTATCGACAAGGCGAGAGTAAATATAGCAATTTCCGCAATCATTGTTGATCCATTTGTCCAGATTACTTCTACCTCGTATCACGAACAATTTTAGTATGCTTCTGGTAACATAGGAACACACCAGTTGCTCAATGGTTGACCCTGGGAGCAGATAATAACCATAATACTCGTATTTGTCGGTTTTTAAGTTTATCGTTGCATCGTATGCAATCTGCGATGCCGTGGCATTAAAGACGACCCTGGGCACTTGCTTGAACAAGTATGCACTGAAGATGCTTTGCGACTTCAGCGTGATTCCATCGCCAAGTAACGTGGTCGTGTCTGTGGTCAAAGCGCGCATGTCAGTAGGAGCGACGTTGACTTTCTTGGTAGTGTTGTATTTGTAGTACAATACGGTGCCCGTCACTACTGTAATAATGATGATTTGGACCCATAACACGGCGATTCGCTGTTTGCAGGTTAGTTTGGTCAGACAGAGAAGGGGAGCCAGTAGCATGAAGAAGAAAGAGCACCACAATTGGCAACCTTCATCATACCTTCCGTCGTTTGCTCCCCAATATCCGTCGCCGTAGTACCTGCCGCCACCGCCGCCACCGCCGCCGCCTCCACCGCCCGATCCGCCGCCATGTGTCATCTCTGAAACCACTGAAAGCAAATAATAATTCATTTTTCATTCATAAATCTATTTTATCTTAATTCTTAAAATTGTTAATGTCTATTCTTAAAGGGATAATAAGTCTTTGTGTGAGATCTATATTTCACAATAAAAACATTTACCACAAAAACGGCAGTTATAGGCATTATTCTGATATCTGAGCTTGTCTTTAGACCACGTGACCTCCATTGATGGCTATACTCTGTTATAATCTCTTAAGAAATTATAGCAAAAAAAAATTTAGGAAAAAATAACAGGGACAAACTTTGAATGTGAAAAATGGACTCATTTACCATTGGTAAGTATGGGAAAATGGTTGTTTACTCCAGGAAAATTAATTTTATTTTTGGCCAAAACGAAGAGTTATTATCCCTTTAAATTAAAAAAAAAATAAAGAGTAAACGAAATATTCTATACGCGCGTGTCAATATACAGAATTGATATTTAATATGGAATATTTTTTACAAATCATTTTCCATCAGTTTTTTTTTTTGCTGACTGATAAATGGAAATTTGGATAAAAATAGTGTTTTAATAACTTTTAATTATTACTTTGATGACATCATTTCATCAATTAAATTCGTCAATAAAGCACACTGAAATACATTGCCTACTCTAAGTCATGCGACAACCAATAAAAGCGATATTTTGGATCTCCATATTTTCCAAATTGTCATCTGTAAAAGAGTCACACTCCCCACAAAGGACCCCCATGTCAGTGTCGATAGTCATAGCAACGGTCGCTGTCACGCCAGAACTCATCTGGCTGCTACCAGGGCTATCATGTGGCAAGGGATTCCTTGGGATAGGTTTTTAGAGTTTGATATGGAATAACATTCCAGACATCGGTCAAAACTTGTTCAGTTTGGTTTAAATTGATTTAGTTTTGACCCACTCACATATCGTCTATGTTGTTCAAATATGGCGAGTTTGATGACCAAGGTAGCTGCTCATTCCCTTGGTAAGTTATCTTCTATCAAAAGTGCTCTTTGAGTACTGGTTATCTCATCGTGTAACCTAAAATTGTTCCTAAAGTGTCCCTTACCAAATTGTATCAAATAGTTCCCAGATTATTCCTTTATTTGATGTGGTTCAGGTTTTCATGGATGACTACCATTTATGTTTTGGCACCAATGTGATCTCCGCTCCAAATACTGACGCTGTCACCTGAGACGCTACACACGGTACAGGCCTCTTCAGGATGACTATAAACCCTGTGGCAATTTGCCCCTCATTCTGAACGGACTGGGTGGTTTGTTTAGTTGCAGCAGCATATCAAGAAGGACAAGGAGTCCTCTATCCTGGTGGTTAGATTTGGATACATTGGGTGTGGCCTCTGTGTAGGTGTGTGGCCTCTGTCTGGGTATAACTTTATATAACTGTGCGGACCGTTCGGAGTGACACAATGATCTGTCTAGCAATGTTTGTCTTTATCGCACCATTCTTGCACAGACTGACAATTTTGTAAAACAATGCTTAACCTATTTTACGCACTGCACAACCGACCGCTTGTATGCAAATTTTCAAATCCTAAATAGTAATTGCCGACATACAGGGTTACCACTTAATATGGAATATTATTTTTTGGCGAGTAAATTTTCTACAAAATATCTAATTTCTCTCTAACTACTTTAAATCCAAAACTGAGGTGTCACTCCATGTGTAGCCAGGTGTGTTACCTAATTACCACACAACTCTCGAAACAATTGATGCATGCAGCTGCATGTTCTGTGGTCAGAAATGTGAGGGGTGGTCCTTTCGGCAATTTCTGCCCTTGTATAAAAACGCATGGGTTTGGTCAAATTTTATATTGTATTTAGAGAAGCAACAAAGGGATCGCTCTGAAACTTGACAGGTACCTTAGTGAAGATATGGTTCGATAGCTAAGCAACACAGCTTACTATGGGATTCTCGCTCTCAGATAAAATGGCCAGAAACGGACAGTCATTGCCAGGTAATTCAAGATTTATCAGGAACCGTTTGTAAAGTCCTCCAAAGAAATGCTGCAACAGGGGCACCTTCTCCAATACCTCGACCAGGGTGCCCGCGTATCACACCAAAAAGACAGGATCGCCTTCTCCTTAGAGGACGCCGTGCTGGTCGTACAAAGACAACCAGTGTCCTCAGAAAAGAGAGGCAGAATGTCATTCAAACGCCCGTTTCAAGGTCCCTCGTGAACAAGAGATTACTGAAAGCCGGTTATTTTGCACGAAGGCCAGTAGGGAAACCACTGTTAACAGCAGGTCATATACAGCGACTTCTGCAATGGGCTGGGAACCACGTGCATTTGCAGCCAAAACATTGGAATCACGTCGTTTTCAGTGATGAGGCCAGATATGGATGTTTTAGGGTTGATGGTCGAATCCGTGTCCACCGACGTGTACGAGGGGCATAAAACGATGATTGTGTACTGCCTAGGGTGCAAACAGGGGATGGTAACGTCTCAGTTTGGGGCGCATTTCATGTCGGTGTCCAGAACCAGTTGGTTTTTCTAGGAGGCAACCTCATCCAGGATTCCTACAGAGACATACTACTGCAAACAATGCCTCGATTGGTAAGAGTCATCTTCAGGAACAACTTTGTGTACCAGGACGACTGGGCAACCCCACATCGAGGCCGCAGAATC